GTCTTTATATCCAGTATCAGAAATGAGGTACATACTCAGATTTGCATCGGTCTTCTCCATCAGTAGTGCGACAAGTCTTTGAGCTGTTTATCACCCCTTTTTTTTTTATCCTTTTGTGGAATCTTTTCCTTAAATACCATGTGATATTTGAGAGGTAGACTGGTTTCGTTTGATGGCGAGTAGTGGATGGTGGGGGTGAGGAGGGGAGTTCGGTGCCAGTAGAATCAAAAAGACTGATAGGATTAAATTTGGAAGGCTGGTCTGCATCTTTTTTTCCCATTACTGTGTATCCAGCGCCCACCACATGGCCTCGCTCACGATAGCTTAGTAAATATTCAAACTGGTGGATTAACTGGTGAAATGTTATTTCCCTGTCAGTTTTTTTACTTCTGTCCCCATATCCTTCTTGTTGTTACAGATCTACATCACGACTTTTTTATATTCAGACAAAGCTATAGAATAGGTGACAGATCAGACAACCTTACTGTGCTTAGTTCCTGGGAAAGATTTATCAGGGGTCCTCAAACTTTTTACACAGGGGGCCAGTTCACTGTCCCTCAGACCATTGGAGGGCCGGACTATAGGCCCTGGGACGAGTTGGCTGCTAAGCAGGACAGGCAGCGGCGGCAAAAACACCTGGTGGGGTGGGTAAGTGTCCTAGGCGGGATGCATGTGGCCTGCAGGCCGTAGTTTGAGAACGCCTGATTTCGAGTGACTGGGATCTTGTTTTTAGAGCGCAGGGCATATCTTTAGAACATAGAATTCTTGTCTGTAACTCACTGTTGTTGATCCAGTTTTCTTCCCTCAGTCTTTGGTTTACTAGAGGAAGATACATGGCTGTCTTCTTTCCTGTGTGATAGTTGGGGACTGAGTTCCTTACCAGGCTGACACAGTTGTTGCCTGAGACTCCTTCAAGTGGGTCATACTTCCATAACCACCTGAAAAATGAGTAAAATTTCTAAATCTACAAATTTTCAAGTATCACTGTAGAGTGAAAAAAGTTAAATCCTGACTGTCATGAAGTTCTTGCTTCGTGGTGTTTCTTTTCTGGAAGTGATAGTGTAGGAGAAACCAGAAGTATAATATCTAGAAAGGGAGTATTTTGTACCTTGAAATGTGATTTTCGGTTTCTCTGTCCCTTGTGAAACTGATTTTCGTTATTGAATTTCATGTTCTCATTCTACTTAATCATTTAAGCGTGGCAGAACCAAAGATAAAATTTTGCCGTTCTTGTGGCATAAAATAGCTGTTGGTATTTTTCTCCTCAAAAAATGAAATAGGAAAAATAAAGAATTTAAAGCATTCGAACCATACGTAATTGGGAGAGGGATAGACCTTAGTTATTGAATCTAATATGTGGTAAAATTCAATTATACTTTCTCCCTTAAGTCATTGTTTTCTAACCTTTAATCTTTATATGTTGTCAAAAACTTTATTTAAACATTTTTTTCTGCTACAACAAAGACCATGCTGTCTTCCCTATATCCATTTATAAATTTTGAATTACCGTAATTCTGCTTCGTGTTTTTCTGTGCTTCTCTTGAAAGGCTGAGGTTACAGTCTTGGCTCTTTTCAGACAGAGCACTCACATAGCTTTTTCAGATAAGAAAGAAAAGTTTTCTGATGTTTCACTTCAAATTACTTCCCCTTTGTTTCACCCAGGGTTGAAAGCTTGTTGTTTTTAATGAGATTCTTCATCTGTTTGAGACTTGTGGTAAAAAATATAGAAGAGAAAATTATCTTATTTACACATGTGTGTGGATTCTGATAGCCAGTCAAAACTGAAATTTAAAATATCCATTAGCGACTATAATACATTAATACTGGAATTCAGTAGAGATAGGAAATTGTCAGTATATTTTTTTCTGGTATGGTGTAAATGAGTAAAAAAGCTTAGGATGGAGATTGTTACATTTGTTTGTATAGAAAAGTTGTTTTTGTTGTAAACCTATTGAGTTTATTCTCTGCTACTTTGAAGTGCCATTTTCAAATACTCTGATGTGTTGGGAGAAGGCTAGTTACCGAATAATTACAACAAAAATTTGTGTGACTGGTAAATGTGGCCAATGATGTTTCTTCTGTGTAGGAGACTAACAAAAATTAAGCAGTGTTCCAAAATATTTTCAGGATGGAAAGACCCATATGGTAGCAGACTAGGGCTACCGATGAAAGAAGTGGCAGTGTTTGCCCAAAACATGTTAATAAGTTGAGAACACTGCCTATGACCCTACAAAGCCAGGTATCTAGTGCTCTAAGGGAGGAGTACGGTATGTAGGGGTGTGACAGGGTGGGGGAGTAAAGTCTTAAACTGGGTCTGTGGACTCAGGTTAGTCCCAAGTCTCTCACTTACTACCTGGGTGACATCAGGCAAGTTACTTAGTTACTTTGATCTTCCCTTGTTTATCCATATAATGGGAATAATAATACCTTACAAGTAGTTCCATAGGTTTAAACAGATAAAACAAATTGGTATGTGAAATACCTGCAATATTGAAATACCTATTGTTAACATTTAATTCTGAATTATTACCGTAGGTAAGAAATAATAATAGTAATAATATACTAATGCACAAATAAAATTTTATGAGAGTACAATTTGATTCTCCCTAGTTATTTGATTTTTATATGGCTGTGGTCTTAACATTAGTTTAAGCAGCAAGACACTTGAAAGAGATTGTGATCTCTCATAGACGAACACGAAACACTGTCATGTTTAATATTAGTATCTAAGGCAGGAAAACTTTTTGTGGGAAAAGAGAAGGGAGGTAAAAAATAAATACATGTATCCTCAAGGCAAAGCCAGCTCTCACACTGAGCATAATTAGGTTCAGTTATTAAAATTTTTCTTTAATATTTTGCTACTATCATGTATTTAGTTGTCTCCAAATGCACAAAGACAATCAGTAATTGGTGCCAACTCTTAAGAATTAGGCACAAATTATTTAGAAACCGTTACCCATTAATTTATTTTTCCCAGAATGTAAGGAAACACTGACATTATTTTAGGGGCAGAACAACTTTCATAATCTCATTAGAAAACCAATTCAGAGATAGTGATGATATAACTGTTGCATTAATTGCTGCTTCTAAAGTAATGCTAGTTGCTGTTTCCTTCTGTTTTTTAAGTTACATCTGTTAATGTTTAATCCCCAAACCCTAACATTTTTATTCTTGGAATGTATTGGAAAAATCACTAGACTTGGCACATGAACCCAGGTTTGAGATCAATCAGCCTCTTAATAACTAAGCTCTTTGGCAACGAGTTTCTCCTCCTTCATCTTTCCTTTTCCTTTGTCTTGAACTTGGTTTCTAGCATTTCGAAGTCATCTTTGAATGTTTCTCTTTCAAACAATCTTTAGAATATTTCTCTTGTGTACTTGTATATGAAGTTTCACCTGCCCCCTAAGATGTGTATTTTATTTGAAAGTCAGATTACTAACCATTTTCTCCAAAGCTGGGGAAGAAAAAGAATACTGAGCACAGAAACAGAATGATTTAACATGTATTACTTAGAGCTTGGCACATACACAGTAGCTGTTTGAATTTGAACTTTTTTTTTGTTTGTTGGACAGAGTCTTGTTCTGTTGCTTGGACCAGAATGCAGTGGTGTCCTCACAGCTCACTGCAGCCCCTGACTCCTGGGCTTAAGTGATCCTCCTGCCTCAGCCTTTTGAGCCGCTGGGACTACAAGTGCCTACCACACCCTGCTAATTTCTGTTTTTTTGTGGAAACAGGGTCTCACTTCTTGCTCCCTTCTCCTGCCTTGGCTTCTCAAAGTGCCAGGATCACAGTTGTGAGCCAGCATGCCCAGTTGAATTTGAAATTTTTGAGTTTCATTTGGAATTTAGCTTTCCCGCTATGTGGTGGGAACTATCGAAACTGAATCGGTTTCTGATTCTGAAAGCTCTGTGAACTTTCTTCCTCTTTGAATTAATGAATATTTAATACCCTTTGAGATTTTTTATGTTTTGTGAATTAATGAGTATTTAATGCCCTTCGAGATTTTTTATGTTTTCACTTTGTCGCAAAGGAGTTTATTAACATAGACAAGGTATATAGTAGCATTCCTGTCCTCCATGATGTTTCAGCAACAGAGTAACTCACGTCTGTCTCCAGAGTATGGATTAGCATTGGTTTTTGAATTTGTAGAATGTTATATATCTATAAAGCATAATGGTAATGAAGGCGTGCTCAGGCTTAGAAAACTTGTTCATTCTCATGTTAATATGTGTTTAGTATAAAAATCAGGATGGCATTTTCATTTAATCATGAAAAAAATATTTGCAGTCTATTCACTTTTTACATTTGACCTCGTAGTTCACCAAAATCAAAATATATATATAAATTGTTAGCTATGTAGTTGAGATTGAGACTAGCCTTTTTATTGTTAACACTTTAATTCTGGAAAGGAAGACAGGCTTTTTAATTGAAAGCAGCATTCATTTGAATGTTACCTGGGCCATTTAAAAAAAATTTAATATTATACATATTTCCTTTTTCTTATTTAAAAGGTCTCAGTGTTGCATTTTTCTATAGATTTTGTGATCGATGGAAAACTAATGGGGAAATTATAAAAGTAATTTAATCAAGTAGTATTCTTTATGAGAATGACTTTCAGTGTTTTTTTGAGAAAATCTTGCCAGTTTTAAAAGAACCCCCACAGTGAGGATTTTCCAGAGGATTAGGGAAATAGTTATTATTGCATTTTTTTTTCTTCTAGTAGCCGACCCTGGTTGTGGAGCAGTCATAGATCAGACGTTATGCAAACCACTTACATATTTTACATAATTCTTACGTCAACATTATAAACTATGTGCTTTCATTATTTCCATTTTTAGAAGATAAAATATGTGCCAGTCCCAGAGTAGGTACTCAGTAAAATATTTATTGAAAAATGAATTTCACCTATCAGCTGGCTTTAAGAAATAAAACTGTAATGAATGTTGTACATCTAATAGATACAAGTTTATATGTTGCTGATTTTCTCCTCTTTCCTGTAGGAGAAAAGACTGAAGGAAAGGGAAGCCAGGAGAGAAGCCAGCAAGAGACAAGCAAAGGTAAGGGTTTGTGTGCGTGGATTTTTCCCTGGTTCTATTATGGTATAATTGACAAAGGAGTTTTATGTTTTGACAAAAGCAGTATTTGTAATTTGAAATCAAATTTAAGTCTTTTTTTTTTTTTTAAACAGAGTCTCAGTATGTCACCCTGGGTCGAGTGCTGTGGCATCACAACTCATAGCATCCTCAAACTCTTGGGCTTAAGTGATTGTCTTGCCTCAGCCTCCCAAGTAGCGGGAACTACAGGCACCCACTACGCCACCTGGCTATGTTGTTTAGCAGGCCCTGGCTGGATTTGGGTCCGCCAGCCCCAGTGTATGTGGCTGGTGCCCTGCCTGCTGAGCTACAGGCGCCGAGCCAAAATTTAAGTCCTTTTCACTATGCATTTTATATTTATTTGTATAATAGGACATTCTAATTGAATTTGTTCCCATGTGGCCTGTATTTACTTTGTAATATTCCTTTGCTTCCTCTATGATGCAGGATGAAGAAGCCTAATGGGCTTTCCCCCACTGGCCCCTGCAACCTTTTCCCATCCTATTTTGTGTCTATTAAATACACAAGGCAGTAGCTTCTGTGGGCCAGGACTGATAGGACTCTCATCCCTGTCATCTTTAGACAGGCAGTCTGTGCGAACCCAACCTGACAATAAGTAACTCTGAAAGCATCGGCTCAGCTCCTGGAATCTAGGCGAACAGCTTTCTGTACCTCTCGCTTGCTGTATTCTGTTAACAATAATCTCCAGCAAGTATGTATGTGGTTTTCCTCAAATCTATATGTACAGTTATAAGCACCATGTGCAGCTGTGATTTTTATCTGGCCTGTTGGCCTCTGAGCAGTGTTTTGTGTCTGCATCTGAGGATGTTGAGTAGAAATGATTTCCTGGAGCCAGGGCTGAGTAACGCTATGTCAGACTCCTGCTCTGTCTCACTGTGAGATGTCTGAGCAGCTGTGATTTCTTCCTGGACGTTAGCAAAGCTCCAGCTCCCTGAGGGAATCCAGAATGTTCTTTGCCATTATTTTTCCAGGCTGGCCATAGCACTGAGGGAGCAGCTCAGAGAGGATAACTCATGCTATAGTTCTGATGTCGGAAGCAGTTATTCTACAGTGTAAGATGAAAAGACTGCTTACATTTAGTGTTAAATATCACTCTGTCTTCCAATGTGCCCGAAAACAAGATCTCCAGTGTGTGCAGCTGACTGCTAAACCAGGTGGTGACTTCTGCATAGGTTTGAAAGTGCACACCTGAATCTCTATGGCAGGGAAATGAGATCTTAGAGGCTGTGGTGGGGAAAAAATTTAAATTTGAGCAGAAAGATTTTAAATCTAATGAAGGCATTTGATATTTATGAATATCGGATGTTCAGCATAAAGTGAAACGTATTTTAATTTCAGTAGCAAACTCTCATTCTGCATATGTAAATGTAGAATGAATAATGCAGTCTAGAGTTGGAGAAAGCCCTGCTCCTTGCATTTCCGTTGTGTGTATGCATGTGTATTTGTAACTACATGTGATTTATTTTCATACTCGTTGATGCTGTAGGCTTGAATTTTTTTTAATAGTGGTTTAAGCTATAAGTAATTTCTCTTGCCCTTGAGCCTGCCTCCTGGATCCTCCTCCTTTTATTCCTCTATAAGTTAGTGCACATATCTGGTTTTAAGAGTGTGTCAACTAAGAAAACAGAATCGTAAAGGCCATCAGACTTGGACTTGTCCATTGGGACTCATCTTTTTAAGCCAAACTTCTCCCTACATTTCTTGCTCCCCCTTCTGTGTTTGTCTTGTGTTTCCTGACATCGAATAAAGGAAAGAGACTTTCTTTTCAAGAAAAGGTCTCACTTCTGTACAACCATTGGTAATGAAAAGAAGAGGCTCTGCAGCTGACACAGCTTTGCTCTCCAGCCTGGAGCTTTAAATAGAGAGGCTGCGGTTTGTTACTGCTCTGAACATGTGCACTGCCTCCATTTCACAGCCCTTATCTGGGTATTCAGAGGTGGCAGCCCTTTTGTAGGAGTGTTATTACCAGAAGGTAAGTGGCCAGTTGTAACCAGGCCTCAACCGTTCCTTAAGACACTGAGGGCAGACAGCAGGGATGGGTTCAGGCTGACTGACAGAGCCCAGGGAATTAGCTGAAACCAAACTTTTGCACCCAACTTCTTTGCAAATGAAAGTGGCAGAGGATGAAGGCTTCCATAGCTTTTCCGGTGCCTTTTGGGAAAAGACCAAAAAGATACTGGGAATGACTTTGTATGGAGGTGATGGTCCAAAGTTCTGTGATATGTAAGAGGAAATACACAGTATGAATCGTTAGGTTTCTGTAAGTGTGTGTGTGTGTGCTTTAAATGATAGATGTGACTTAGTTTTTGAGTAAATGTTGCCTTCTCTTTGATCCTTTTATTTAAACATAATCCTGTGTGACCTGAGGGTATTGCCTCTGAGGCACTGTGGTTCAATTCCTAACATCTCCTTGATCCCCGAGCCTGCAAGATACCCAAAAGGTGCCTTACTAGAAAGTGGCATGTGCAGACTTAATTTACCAGGAAATGCAGTCTCACCCTTGGTGGCTATTTTAAGGAATCAGTACATAGAAACAAAGTGTGTGTGTGTGTGTGTGTGGAGGGGGGGGAGGATTCACATAGCTCTCTCAGTACCTCCATGTTGTGTTTTTTGCAGCAAACATCATGTTGCTACAAAAGAAGAAATAGAGAGGACACAGTGGGTTTTTTTAGAAATTTGGGGAAAAGTATCTGAAAGTTAATTCCATTATCTTTATTTCCCAGGAAATAGAAGGCTTAATGATAATATGAGTTTTCAATTTTAGAAATGATGATGACTGGTTATCTCTCCTCTCTCTTATTGAATGAGTATTTCTAAGAAAAAATTGCTTTACAGTGTGAGTGGGTAAAATAGAGTTGAAATGGACCTGTCAGGAATCTGACACAACATTTTGTTAAAAGACAGATCTAAAATCTGCCTAGAATATGTGATGTACCGTGTTAGGAATGGAAGAGAACGTGAAGCTGAAATTCTTATGGAGACTCACTGGTAACTGGTATTTAGTGGTTTGGGACATACAGGTCTTTGAGTATCAAAACTTTGTTTAGCAGAGAAATGTTTGAACTGCACAATAGAATTGCTTTTTCTTTAGCTAACAGGATGTTGTATGTTCCTATAACTTAAAGATTTTAAACTGAGATATGGAAAAAACACTTGTAGCAGTGATCAATAGATCCCATTGCTTTTTGACTTCAGGAAGGTCACCTAATCCTAGAAACATAGTCTTACCTCATTATCCAGCTCAATTTCCTATTGCTTTGAGGGTCACAGGTGCTGGTGGTAATTCTGGTTGCTGGAAAGATTTTGCAGAAATGGTAAAGAAAAAGAACAATGGTGCTGAAAGTTGAGGAAATAGGTCCTCAGAAATATCTCCGTGCTTTGTTGCTTTTGAATAGAAAGGAGGATTTATTAAAAGTAGGAGGTTGATGAAATTGAACACAAACCATAAAGGAGTGAAGAGTAGAAAACAGCTCAGAGGCACAGGAACACTGAAGGTTCAGAGTTGCCCTGACTGTGTTACAGATGCTCATAATTCCTGGGGAAAGTTACATTAAAATAACTAAGATGATGTACATTTTGTGGTTGAAGTTTTATAGACGCTATAAATTTATTTGTTTTTATCGTTCTGGTTTTGCTTTTTTATTTTAATGACCCTGGGCTACTTTATTTACTTAATAAATATGGGTAATATTTTCTTGAATACCTAAAGTGACCTTAGCATTAACAGAAATAGAGTTGAAGTTGGTTCTCTCAAAATGGGAGGTTCGAAGAAGTAGACGTTACATAATTTTAGAACTTGAAGACCTTGGACGTTCTCTGGACTATGTAATCTGTTCATCTTTAATGACTTTCGCTGGCCCACCAGGAGTTTCATAAAACAAAACTAAATTTATTCATTTGATATCTTGGTCTTCTTTCTACCTATCTTTCTGCTTTTTTGGTGCTAAAGTACCTTTTCATTTATGAAATAATACTGATCATTTTTTAAAAGTATTACTTAACAAAGTAAAAATCCCATGTCAGTCATTTAAAATAAACTTTGAACTTTTTTTAATAGTGAAATTCAAGAGTGAGCATGGCATCCATTGGTGCACTCCAGTGGTTTCCAGTATTATTTTCACTGACCTAGGGCTTCTGCCAGTTTGCTCTGCCTACCCCTGGAAATGATGGATTCGCTGGGGAGCTCACGCTCCCATTTTGTCTTCAGCCAGAGCAGGTCTGTTTTTTCTTTTTCCCCTCTATGCACACTCAGCTTCCAGGGAAGCTTGCTTTGACAGGTGTTCCTGTGTAAATCTATACATACATAGTGAGTGTTTTCAAAGTGCTCAAATGAAGGCTAAAAGCAAGTAATGACCTGCCCAGTGCCACTCGCTTCTTCATTGGCGGAACTGGGACGCGCACCCAGGTTCCCTGAATCTTCCTCCCCTGTTACTATTTATTGGCCCGTGCTCTTGCTGTAGGTCATTCCACCCCCCCACCCCCCCACCCCCGCTTTTTTGGAGGGCCTGGGAGTGGCTTACACAAACAAATTTTGTGTGTGATACATGGGCCAATGACTAGTTGTAGAAAATTACTAATAGAAAATATATTGAGTTTCTAAGAAGGAACTCCGAGCTGAGATCTAGAAAGCATCTGTGTCTTAACGTTGCTGGGTGATCTGGGACGTGTCATTTACCTTTCTGTGCCTCTTCTCATCGGGGTAAAAGGTTATCCTTTCTATGAAGATTTTTCTGACTCTTTCTGATCTATGGACTCTTGCTTTTGTAATCCTCCTGTGGTCTCCTGCGCACAGCGTCAAGAGTTACAGCCCGTTCTCTTCTGCTGAACCCTAGGCCCTAGGTCCTGTTTTTCTCTGTATCTCCATCACTCATCACTGTGCTTTCTGGTTCATAGATGGCTGTCTTCTCACAAACAGTGCGCAAGGTCACCAGTAGTAGTATCTC